GAAATTTCAAAATACGTTGACATTAATACTGTCTTAACCAACCAATCGGTAAAAGTAGAAATTACAAGGGAAATCGGGGACTAGAGATGAATGGAAACAAATGAGACATATCAAAACTTATGGGATGCAGTGAAGGCAGTCCTCGGATGGGTATTTATAGCTGCAAATGCCTACATTAAAAAGAAAAATCTCAAATCAATAACCTAACTTTACCCCTTGAGGACTGAGAAAAAGAGCAAACCAAGCCCAAAGTTATTAGAAGAAGAAAAAAAAATCAAGATCAGAGATAAACACAACAGAGAATCAAAAAACACCAAAAGTTGTTCTTTGAGAATATTAATAAAATTGACAAACCTTTAGCTAGAAAAAAGAAGACACAAATAACTAAAATCATAAATAAAAGTAGAAACATTACTATAGACCTTAGAAAAAGAAAAAGGATTTTTTAGTAAGGAAATACTGTGAACAGCTGTATGCCAACAAAGATAGATAACCTACATGGACAAATTCCTAGAAATACAAATTACCCAAAATAACTCAAGAAGAAATCAAAAAATCTCAGTAGCTTAAACTACTAGAGACTGAATCAGTAATCAAAACCTCCCAACAAAGAAAAGCCCAGGACCAGATGGCTTCACCAGTGAATTATACCAAACATTTAAAGAATTAACACCAATTCTTTCCAAACTCTCCCAAAAAATTAAAAGGAGGGAAATATTTACTAATCCATTCTATAATTCATTAATAACCCAGTATTATCCTGATACAAAGGACAGACAAAGCATCACATGAAAGGAAAACTACAGACCAATGAAGTTCTAGCAAACTAATCCAACGTTTTAAAATTATATACACCATGATCAAGTAGAATTTATGCCAGGAATTCAAGGATAATTCAACAAAAGAAAAGCAGTCAATGTAATAAATATTAATAAAATGAAAGGGGGAAAAAACAAAACAATCACATAAATTGATGCAGAAAATGCAGTTAACGATATCCAAACTACTCTTTCATGATAAAAAAAAAGTTTTGTTTTAGAAAACTAGTAATTGAAAGAAATTTGCTCAACATAAACCGCACTGGAGAAAAATCCACAACTAACAGCATATTTAATGGTGGAAGACTGAACTCTTGTCCCCTAAGACCAGGAAAAAGAATAGGAAGCCTATTTATACCACTGCAATTCAACAATGTACTGGAAGCTCTAGACAGTTAACTAGACAAGAAAGTAAAAAAGGCAAAGCATCAGAATTAGAAAAGAAGTAGTAAAACTACCTCTATTCAAAAATGAAACAACCTAATACATATATATATAAAGATCCCAAAGAATCCACACAAAAAAGCCACTACAGCTAATAAACAATTGCAGCAAGTTGCAGGGTACGAGATCAACACACACACACAAATCAGTTGTGTTTCTATATAACTGCAATGAACTGCTCAAAAAGAAAATTAGGAAGCTATTCCATTTATAACAGCGTCTGAAAGAACAAAGTACCTAGGAATAAATTAGCTGAGAAGCTGAAAGATATATACACTGAAAATTACAAAAAACTTAAGGAAATGAAAGTAGCGCTAAATAAATGAAAAAAAAAAGTTCATGGATAGAAAATTTAATATTGCTAAGATGGCAATACTACTCAAAGGGATCTATGAATTCAATGCAATTCCTATCAATTTCCAACAGACTTTTCTGTAGAAATAGTAAAGCCTATGGCTAAATCATGCAGAGTTTATTTTGGGGGTGATGAAAATATTCAAAAATTGACTGTAGTGACGGTTGTATAACTCTGTGAATTTCTTAAAGCAATTGAATTGTATACTTTCAAATAAGTGAATTGTTTGGCATGTGAATTATATCTCAAAAAAGCTATTTAAAAAATACAGTCTCCCCCGCTCTCTAATATTCTCCCTTTACTCTTACTCTCTTCATGGATCTCATCCTCTAAAATGAATTCAATTATAACCTCGTTCAGCTACTATCTCCTAAATCTTTGTCATCAGCCTTGACTTTCCTCCTGACTCCATACCTGAATTTCCCCACCTCCTACTACATGCATGACGGAAGGAGTCTCAACAGTCACAAAGCTCAGATTTGTTTTCCTACTTCAACACACTTTGTCTCAGCTAACAGGTCCTAGTCTACCATGCTAGCAACTCTGGTATCTCATCCTCACTACCACCTACTCCACCCCCCACATTAAGTCAGTCACCAATTTCTGTCAGCTGTACCTCCATAACATCTTTCTTTCTTTTCCTTTCCGCTAATAAAGTCATTAATTGAAAACATCACAATTTCCCTTCCTACAATTCCTTTTCTCAATATAATATTATTTTCCCTAATATGTACCATACTTTCCCCTCTTAAAACCCCTCAGTAGCTTCCCACTTACTACAGAATAAAATTCCACCTCTCCACAGCTTGATCTTCAAAATCTTCTATAAAGTGGATTCAACCCACCTACCTAATGTCACTTCTTATGTTATCCTTGAGCCCTAAATGACAGCCGCCCAAAGGCACTTATCATTCCTTTTGCACGCCAAGGCTTTTTCTCCCAGGTGCCTTTTCTTAGCCCTTTCTCCACTTAATTAAATTCCTCATCCTCCAAGAGCTATGTGCTTTTATTATTCTCTCAAAATATAATTTTCCTCAAGTTTAAGATGCCATCAAATTGTAAGACATATACCAATTTTAGAAACATTGAAATATATAAAAAATGTATGCCTTTGAGTAAAATACAGTAAATATCTTCCTCTATGTTCCCTCAATACAGTGTTTGTATTTCCATTTAAATTATTTCTTAGGCCTTATATTATGACTTAATGTCTGTAGATCATAGGCTTAAGGACAAAAACTGTCTTACTCATCTATGATACAGTAGACATCCCACTAGAGTATGAGTAAGACAACCCAAATGAGATTTCGTAAAGAAAGAAAGAAAATAGTACCAATCTCACGTTTATTATCAGAATAAATTAGAGACTATACATTAAAATCAATGTGTAAAGTGAATCTTATTCAAATGCAGGATTTTGGTATTTTAAAAGATATATTTACTAAAATTAAATGTCACACTACAAATCTGTCACTCTTCAATATCAGAAACTACATTAAGGAGTACAGGAAATTTTTCTCAAGGAAATTTCTACAGGAAATTACTGGATCCCATAATACTTTAGGAGCATAGCAGTCCCCGACTGCAGAAGAACAAAGCACGCTTCCAGCACTCTAGAGCACACTAGATCATGATCACTGATTCCCATGCCTGCTTCTGGAAGGCAAGGTCTGTGACCCTAGGACAGGGATTCTCAAAGACACCAAGTACCAGAGCATCAAGGGAGGCATGTGTAATGTGAAAACAAAATAGCCTCAGAGTGGGGCACGGACTGAAAAGCTTGGCACCAGGCAGCACTTAGATGAAATGAATGACTCTAAGACGTACAGACATGTTTGAAAATTTATGTCTACCCTCTATTGCCTGGACTAGTATAATATCCTCTTAATAGGTCTCCTACCTCTAGTAGGCACCCTGGTGAATTCATCTCCCACATTCATGGAAAAGCGCAGCTAAAACAAAGTGAATCAGGACATTCCACCACACCTTCAATAGCTCCCTATCAGTTTGAGAACAAAAATAACCTAGCCTCCTCCTGGCTCCCCAGTCAGTCCCATTTTATGAGCCAAACTTGATGCTCCAGCAACTGTGATAGAAATTTCTTATACACGCTTTAAGTTCTTTAAGGTTTTTGAGCCTTTGCTCAAGCTTCTCCTTCCAGCATCACCCCTTCCACCTCTCTTTACCAACCTTTTACAAAGCTCAGCTCACATTTTCCAACTCCTGAAAGTATTCCATCAATTACAAGGCTGGGTTAACTGCTCCTCCCTTGAGTTCCTACAAGAACATGTCCCCATCTCTAACTTATCACACATTCTACTGAAATTTTAAAATTGAAAGTATCCTTTAAAAAAAAAAACTCTTCCAGCAGACTGTGAGTAGAACAAGACCAAGAACCAAGTGTTTTCAATTTTGTAGTCATTTACCTAATTTAGTGCCACTCAGTAAATATTTTAACTGAACTGAGATGCTGATCTTAATATTGGTTTTTAAGGAATTATTCCATTGATCAAAAAAAGGAAGAAGAACCAAGAGCATTTTTTTGTTAGTTAGTTTTGGGGGGTTTTGAAGCGAAGTCTTCTTTATGGCTAATGCTATACAAGTGCACAGGTATATTAACAAATATTACACAGCAGCAACACAGTTGCTGAGCTAGTCAACTAAATGCTTTCAGATTCATTCCCCAGACTTATCCCGTGCTGCTCTGTAACAAAGGCAACTGCAATTTCCAAGCAACCTTGCCCTCTGGTTTCCAGGAAGATTTGGCTGGTGGGGAGGCACCAACGGGTGATAGAAGACAGAAGAGGGAGAAGCCAGAGTATTTCTCTCACTCTCCCTACTTCCTGACACATCCTTGGCAGAAGCTTTATCTCTTCCATAACTCCATTTCCCTCCAGGAGTCCTGACCTCTGATGCCCCAGCTCCCATCATGAAGCCCCAACTATGGCTCTAGCTCCCCTCCCGCTCTCAGTCCTGGCTTCTTTCTGTACTCTGGTAATTCCAGCTTTTCTCATCTTCCCCCAGCCCTAATGGTATCATAGAGGCTTCCAGGTATTGTTAATATCTGGTCTGTCCCACAGTCCAGTTTGGCTTCCCAGCAATTACCTGTGCAACCAGTTCCTGGATTAACTTTCCTCTGATGAAAGACCTACTATGGCTACTGTCTTCTGGATGGGTCCTGACTGACTGTTTTTGACTGTTGGCTAAAATAGAATGAATCAGATACATCTCAGCATACTAGCACCAAAAAATTTTAATCTTGAAGAAAGCTTATTACACAAAAATATCATTCTGAATACAGAGGGAGGGGGGAAGGGAGGGAGACGGGACAATGCATTAAATTCTTAAAAGTAAAAATAAAGAATATAACATTTCATTCATACCAAAGTGTTCCTCACTGGAATGAAGTCTTCCCTCAGCTGCAATGTTTGCCTGAATTAAGTCAATCACTTACAATAAAAATGTCACTTTTTAAAAACTTATTTAGTAGAGGGGAAAATTGGAAGGATTGTGGGAGTTGGAGTCACTGCAGGCCAAGACATCTGTTCAAAGAGAAAAAATGTTAAAGACCTCCTGTCACCGACTTATTCAAATTCACAAAATTCAGTCCTTTTTCAAGACAAACCCAACTAAACTAATCAGTTAAAAGATACACCTTTAAACACAAATGTTGCTGCATACATTTTTGGGAGATCATAAAATGTTAAAGTTGAAAAGAATTGCTTTAAACATAAGGAATAAGGAAACAATTCATAAACAGTTCAGTGTCAGCAAATGACTATTACAGGACTTCTCCACTCCCCTTTCATGCAATCATTACATGAAATCCCTTAAATAAGCCAGTCTAATAAAACAATTTAGCAATCACTCACCGTCCACAAAATATTTCAGAAAATGAAAACTTTTAGAGCGGAGAAAACATTTATGATTTGTTTTTGTTTTCTGAATAAAGAGTATTTCTCAGTTACTGAATTAGTTGTTCTTGATCACAGAAAAATACTCTTAGACAACGATCCCCAAACTAAAGCAAAAGATCGATTTAAAATTACAGACTTTGGACAGCAGATATGTAAAGAAAGAGGGGCCTGACATTAGTAACAAACATTTCCTGAGCAACTACACACTGCTAGGCATTTTATGTAAATTACCTCATTTTACTTAAAACCTCACAGTGAGGAAGTGGAAACCCAAAAAGGTTACATAATTTTTCCAAGCAACCAACCTAACTAGCAAATAGTAGAAGTAAAATTTGAGTTCAGTTTTTTCTAGCTCTAGAGTCTGTCTCTTTCTTGCTGTCTCTGGAACAATGTTCCCATGAGTGACTTTAAGCTAAAGATGAACCAGAGAATTACCTTAAAAAAATAAAAAGGCAAAAAATACTAGCTAGACATCTCTAGCCAGTATTTTATATAGTAATTATTATCACACACACATTTCAGCATAAATATTTGTATAAGTATAAAGAGAATTTTACTTAACACCTATTATGTCAAGCTCTGCAAACAAACCAATCGCAAGAAGGGTATACCTCAAAAGCTTATAAGTAATTAGCAATTAACAAACATTTCTCACCGATACAAAAGCCCTAAAATGAGATCAGCATCTCCAAGCCACATCCAGCCTACTTCCCTCATTTTGCACATGACTTATTATCACATGCTGATAGAACAGCCCTGCCAGATCTTCTTGGTTAATTATTCCTCCTACTTGTCTGATTACTATCTGAAAACTCAGTGAAAACTGAGTTATTATCCTCGCCCCTTTGTACAAATTTGACATTTGTTTTCTAGCCACTATGTGGTCAACAATATCCTCTATACTAGTCCTTTTTAAAAAATGCCCACTCCACTGAATGAATACGTTTGACATCACAACTCAGTGCATGTATTCACATAATAACAAAAAAAACTAGACTGCTTTTGTTTAAAGCTTATCAGTGTTTTTAATAGTGTTGCAGAATGTGAAGATATGATTGTATCTAAAAATCTTTGGTTATGCAAAAAAGTCAAACCAGTGCACTGAAGACATTCATAAATAAACCCTAATGAACAAATTATAGTAGAAATTTCTATTCCTATGAGGAATAACTTTGATTCACATGGAATTTGACATCATGAACACATTTTCAAAATATAAATGATTGAGAGATTAAAAAAAACACACAGGCTCATTTCAATTTAACCTATAATTTTTCACATAGTGCAACCATTAGTTAAAAAGAAATTACCAGCCTGTGAAATATAAACCAAAGCTCAAAATATAAAATACAAAGTCAAATGTAAACAAGAAAAAAAATGTCTATATTGAGTTTCATACAGTGTCTTTTCTAATCCTATGTTTTTTTGTACTGAGGCATATATATCAACTTAGAAAGTATAATCTTAATGTTCTTTAAAGTTTATGATTATAAGGGATTACCTCCAAGATCAAAAGCAGCACTGCATAATACTTTCAACAATAAAGATAAACTAAAAAAAAAGCAGCACTGCAGATACCAATAGCACATGATCTAACTACACAAAAATGTGCTGCTGCTCAATTTCTGTATAACATGAGTGTCTAAAGCACATCAAGAAAATTAAAACACTTAACATGCTTAATAGGAAGCATTTTTGCATGTATGTATTTAGACAAAGTTGTGTCACTATTTTTACCCAAATAATTTTCAAAGTATCTGACTGGAAATCCTAGTGCTTCTCAAAAGAAATGCCTGATTTATTTTTAGTAGTTGTCCCTGTACCCTGAATAAACTCAAAAGCTACGAATATAACATACTACTGTAACCAACATTCTAAAAACGACGTGAAGCCCTAGCCAGGTGGCTCAGTTGGCTAGAGCATCATCCCATACACCAAAAGGTGTGTGTGATTCCTGGTCAGGGCACATGCCCAGGTTTCAGGTTCAATCCCCAGTTGGAGCACGTAGGGAGACAACTCAATGTTTCTCTCTTACATCCATGTTTCTCTCTCTTCTCTCTCTCTTCTCTCTCTCCAGTCCCCGCTCTAAAATTGATTAAAAAAACAACAATACATATCCTCAGGTGAGGATTAAAAAAAATTAAATATGATGTCAAGCTCCAAACCTTATTTAATAATATTTAATTCTCCAAAAAGATAAGAGCATTACTATACCAATTTTGTATTTTATCCACAAAGTACAAACTTTCTGTTTTATTAGCCCATACAGCCTTACACCAAATAAATGTACATTTTCCATCAGGTTCATTCAAATTTAGTCAGTCTTGATTATGTGGATATAATCAACCACACTTCAGATTATCCATAAAGCATACATGGTAGAGTAACTATGTGCCAGACACTACCTAATCATTTTATATATGTATATTATACATGTTATACATGCATATATGTCTATATATGTCTATATGTATGTATATATATACATATGGTTTCATTTAATCCTCAAAACAACTTTCTGAAATAGTTACTATTACTATCTTCACTTTAAAAATAGAAAAGTGAAGTACTGTGAGGCTAAGTATCTGGCCAGCATGACATTATAATAGACAACACAATAACTTAGTATAAGCTTTGAGAAAAGATTTATTTATAACAGGAATCTGTTGTTATACTGACTTCCTTCCCAAACTCACTATTATCCAAGTTAATAGAAAGTTAATACTACTGGAATCAGCCCCACAGGCCCTCCCCACCCCCAATACCTCCCTCCCTCATCTCTTTCCCCTCCCACAACTAACCCCAGGCCACAACCTCTCATTTCTCACATTCTAATACACACACTGTATATTACTGCCATTCTAATGATCTGTCCATGTTAAGAGATGTCTTAGACCGGTTGTACAAGCACCATTCCTCAGACTCCTGCTAAAATAAGACAAAGCTTTCTGTGGTCTGAGACAAAAAGGGGGTGGGGGACAGAAGATATATTAATATGTTTATAAAGCACAAATTATTCAACTTAAAATATCATCCTTTATTCTGAGCTTGTCCTTTCTCAGTGTCTAAATATGATACTGAAGACCAATACTTATTTTTTCTATCGTCCTTACTGGCCAAATAAAAAGTCAGTAACCCGGTCAACTGCCCCCAAAAAACTGTTAGGGCAACAAAAACAGTATAAATCCACCAAGTATGCATGAAGTGGTGGAGGACAGGCATAGGGAGGAAAGAACTGAAAACTAGCAGGGTCAAACAGAGGCAGATACTACTTTTACATTTAATTGTGACATATAAACTTAGAGACTGGTCCAGCAAAAAAGGACAAACACAATAAATCTTTGCAAATTTCAGTATCTTATTTAGAAACAATTACAAACTTTTCAGAATTGATTTTATCTAGTTCTTCATTTCTAAGTTGGGAAAAATAGGGGACATTTTTAAAAGGATGACAAATTTGAATTTTAAAATGAAAGTAAAGCTCATAATTTTCAACAACAGGAAAGGAGACATAAAGAATATCATTAATTTATCTTCTAAAAAGGCAGCATAGAGAAGATTGTTAAAAGCATGGACTCTATAGAGTCAACCAACCAGAATCATAGCTGAGTGTTAGCTGTGTAAACCTGAATATGTGACTTTTTTACCCTCTCTGTTTCAGTTCCTTTAAAGGTTGTTGTGAGGATTAAATGAGTAGCACTTAGTAACTACTTTGAAAGGATTGTCATAAATATTATTGAATAACATAAAGAAACAATGGTAAAGTAAGAATGACTATAAAAATTACGGTACTAAAAGTAGTTGATGTTATACTTCCATAAAATTGTTTTAAAGTTAAGTACAACCATTTTTATGTACATGAAGTATGAGGTTATGTGTGACACTTTTAAACTTTTCAATTTATGGGATTTTTTTTTTTCATTACATTAGGAAAATCTCTGAATCCAGTTCGAATACTCTCAACGGGTGGAGACCCTTAACTGTTTACAAGTATGCATCCAAGGCTCAGGATGGCAGTACCCAACTGAGGCTTCATTTGAGTGAGAGAAAAAGCACACACTTAATACTTCCAGCAATTAATGTTCATCCCAACAGTGCATTCAGAGACTTATGTTGATAAAAACCCAACTATAGCTGAGCAATTCTGTCAGCTAGAAATACAGCAAGCTTCCATGGAAAATTCGCAGACCAGGTGATACAGGCACCACACAGCATGCACACTTGGTACTTGCACTCTTCCTGGTTGGGGCGGCTCCCCCAGTTCTATCCCCTTCCCTGGAACCCACTTGTCCTGCTCATTCTGCATCAGGGATCTCCCTAAGGGAAGCCTCCTCAGTTCATCCTGCGAGTTGCCCCTTCTCTCAAGTCACCTCTACATCCAAGATGTAGATACATCATCTTATTTCTTAGCACACAAGTTATCTACATCCTTGCCACTCAAGGACCGTTCCTTGTCCAGCAGCACTTAAAAGCTTATTCAAGAAATGCAGAATATCAAGCTAAATCACAGATCTACTGAATCGGCATTGGCATTTTTAAACAACAGTCCCAAGGGATTCGTATGCACATTAAAGTTTGAGAAACACTGTTCTGTATGACTCTACTGCAGATAGTTGTAAAAATTAAAAACGCTCAATTTTACACTTGAATTCAGAGATACGTTGTGAAAATTACCAACTTGCGGAATCATAAAAGCTCATTATAAGAAATAACCATCATTGAATTTCTTTACCACTGATATCAATCAGAAGTGTTCAAAGACTTACACTATTTTCAGCAATGCCTACAGTTAATGCTTCCTGCTTTGATTCACTATTTGGTGCAACAGCAGAAAAGTGACAATATACAGTTTTATTGAGACTATATTTTATTGTCCAAGGAGTACAAAAGAATGACTGGGTCTAGAAATTTCCGCTCATTCCGGCCCAATAGTGTGCACTCTGCATGCTAAAATTTCGGCATTCAGTCCAATTTAAAGTCGACAAATGAAACTTTTTCAAGAAAGTCATTCAGAAAAAAAATCTTAAGGATGTAAAACTTTAAGCATAGATCACATTCCTGGTACTAATACCGTTTAATACTAGCATTGAAAAAGTCAAGTGTAGAACCACAAACTGTTTTAGAGGTTTGTGTTCTTTTTTTCCAGGAAAAGTCGGGCGAGGGGGAGGGGGTCGGGGGTGCGACGGGACTGTACTTCCACCCTTAGCAAAGTTTTCCTTCCATCCTGAAAGGCCACAACTTGCATGTTCCTACTGGTGGATAAACTGAAGTCGTCCTAAAAACAAGGTCACGTTCCCTCCCTCAGAAGCGAAAGCCTCCTGTTTCTTCTAAAGGCTGCATTTTAAAAGATCTGGGATTGCGGGCCGGCCTCGCTTCCGGCCTGCGGAGGAAGCGCGCTCCCGGGGCTCAAAGGAACNGAGGCGGAGGCAGCTGCACAAGCGACAGGAGGGGAGGCGGGACTCGTGCTGAGAGG